TGTTGCCAGAAAACGGTACCTGCGCAACTTTTGAACTCAAATAAGTTTGAAAAACTAAGACAGAAAACCATTTTCCTCAAAACTGAACCGTTCGACGTTCTTGCGTTTAGACGTAGACGTTGACAAATATAGAAAACATTATAATTTGATCATATATCTACGATTTAGGATTAAAGATGGATTTTAAACATCCTATTAAGAGGTACAAAGAAGACTGCTAAAAACACAACGCAGCCTATTTTTTTAGTCGCGTTTACCAGAAAAAATCGAAGACAATTGAGAAAAATTTTCTAAGTTTCTTCAACTTTTAGCTTTTCGACGGGCTTGTACTTCCAGGAATCAGAAAAGTCAAAGAATCATGTTTTTCAGGCTAAAAAACACTGCGAAGATCATTATTTCACTAAGCTATCTCTCTCTCTCTCTCTATCTCTTTCTGCTTTTTGAAAGCATTTGTCTTTGCTTCTTCCGACTTTCCCTCAACTTCAATCCCCGTCAGAAAATTAAACACTTCAGAAATGAACAATTCACTGCTAGAAGAGCTATAGTTTGTCCTCAGAAATGGGGGAAGATGGGCTATTATGAGAAAAATACAGCACCCGAGTCGAGATTTTTCACCTAATTGAAGCAAGATTTGAGCGGTTTGAGCGGTTTGAGCGGTTGTTTTAGACGATTGCGCTCAAAATCTTGCTTCAAAAAAAGGCGGATTGAAAAAGGTCGCTCACATTGTTTGTGGTCTAGACATTGAAAAATATCTTGCTTGAGTTGAAAACAGTTAAGCACTTTTTGTAAATTGTAGACAGTTTCAACTGCATCTTAGCGTCACACAGTACCTTCCAGGTCTTTTGATGGTTTTAGTCGGTTTGCTTTATAAAACCGCTCAAAAACCGCTTAAAACCCGCTCAAATCTTGCTTGACAAACCGTTCAAAACCACCGCAAGAAATGAGCGGTTCTTGAGCTGTTTTTTTTTCAAGCAAGATTTAAGCGGTTTGAGCGGTTTTTCCAAAAAACCGCCCAAAACGCTCAAAAACTGCTCAAATCTTACTGGAAAACCGCTCAAACCGATCATATCTTGAGCGGTGTTTGAGCGGTATCTCGACCCGGGCAGAAATTATTAGTAGTTTTTATGCATTGAGTTCTGCAGCAAAAACTTTCCCGCCTCCTTTTCATTGAAAGGTAAAGGGAAAACTACATATTGTAACCCCCAGAATTTGATCAAAAACCCCATGTTTAAAACTATTTTTTCGTGCTCTTGATGATGCAACCGTTTTGAAGTCAAGAGCTTTGAAAGTAAAAGTTTTGAAGTTTTCATGATGCAAACGTTCAAAATCAAAACTAAATATGCTTAGTTCAAGTGTCTGCTTGGAGTGGCAAGTTTTTACACAAGTTTACACAAACAAACTGAATTGAACAGTTCTTAACTATCTTCATATGTACTAGCCATTGAATCTTGCAGATTCTAATGTGTTTGGTAGAGTATTAAGCTACAAAAAAGCAACGATCATCGGAGCAGGAGCAGATTTAGGGGCCCGGGTCGAGATCCCGCTCAAAAACCGCTCAAGATATGAGCGGTTTGAGCGGTTTTTCAGCAAGATTTGAGCGGTTTCAGCGGTTTGGGCGGTTAGAGCGTTTTTTTTGGAAAAACCGAACCGCTCAAACCGCTCAAATCTTGCTTAAAAAACCGCTCAAAAACTGCTCATTTCTTGCGGTGATTTATGAACGGTTTCTCAAGCAAGATGTGAGCGGTTTTTAAGCGGTTTTTGAGCGGTCTTTTAAAGAAAACCGATTAAAACCAAAAAAAGCCTGGAAAGGTAATGTGACCCCCGGGTTGACCTCCATAAACCGAAAATGCTTATTTTAAATTTCCCCACACCGAAAAAGCTTATCATACAATTGCCTGCATCAAATGTATGGAAAAATGCTAATCATACAATTTTCATACAATTTCAAAAACCATTGAAAAAAGATTCAATCTAGTTTCTCCGGCTATTTGAACCAAATACAACAGTCTGGTGATGAAAAATAACTACGTTTATTTTTTTTATAAAAAAAATGGTTATCATACAATTTCCATATATGGAAATTGTATGATAACCATTTTTTCATGAAAGGCAAGATTTTCAGAAATTGTTCAAATGTTGTTCATAAACAAATTTAAATTATTTAAGAGTGCTTTTGCTCAGATTAAAGGACATTGCTCATCAAAGCGAAAATTTAATTTGAAGCTAAAAAAATGCTTATCGTACAAATTTCTCATATGAAAAATGCTTGTCTTACAATTTCCATTTATGATAAAATGCTTATCTTACAAATTCCATTTATGAAAAAATTGTTTTTACTACAATTTCCATATATGAAAAATGTTTATCCTACATTTTCCATATATGAAAAAATGTTTATTCTATAATTTCTATATATGAAAAAACGCTTATCCTAGAGTTTTTTTTTACAATTTTCTGAGTCTATGAAACTAAAAAAATTGTAGGACAAGCATTTTTCCATATATGGAAATTGTTGGATAAGCATTTTTGGTCAACCCACGCTAAGATGCAGTTGAAATACTATCTACAATTTAAAAAAGTGCTTAACCGTTCTCAAATCAAGCAATATTTTTTTCGATGTCTTGACCAAAAACAATAAGCGACTTTTTTCAAATGCTCGAGCAAAATAACCACTGGAAATTATGTAAGATGAGAGCGGTTTGAGCGGTTTTTTTTAGACAATTACGCTCAAAATCTTGTTTCAAAATGAGCGGTTTGAGCGGTTTTTGAACGGTTTATCTAATAAAACCGCTCAAAAACCGCGCAAGATTTGAACGGTTTCTCAAGCAAAATGTGAGCGGTTTTTAAGCGGTTTTTGAGCGGTCTTATAAAGAAAACCGATTAAAACCAAAAAAAAAGCCTGGAAAGGTAATGTGACCCCCGGGTTGACCTCCATAAACCGAAAATGCTTATTTTAAATTTCCCCACACCGAAAAAGCTTATCATACAATTGCCTGCATCAAATGTATGGAAAAATGCTAATCATACAATTTTCATACAATTTCAAAAACCATTGAAAAAAGATTCAATCTAGTTTCTCCGGCTATTTGAACCAAATACAACAGTCTGGTGATGAAAAATAACTACGTTTATTTTTTTTATATAAAAAAAATGGTTATCATACAATTTCCATATATGGAAATTGTATGATAACCATTTTTTCATGAAAGGCAAGATTTTCAGAAATTGTTCAAATTTGTTCATAAACAAATTTAAATTATTTAAGAGTGCTTTTGCTCAGATTAAAGGACATTGCTCATCAAAGCGAAAATTTAATTTGAAGCTAAAAAAATGCTTATCGTACAATTTCCATATATAAAAAATGCTTGTCTTACAATTTCCATTTATGATAAAATGCTTATCTTACAAATTCCATTTATGAAAAAATTGTTTATACTTCAATTTCCATATATGAAAAATGTTTATCCTACAATTTCCATATATGAAAAAATGTTTATTCTACAATTTCTATTTATGAAAAAAACGCTTATCCTAGAGTTTTTTTTACAATTTTCTGAGTCTATGAAACTAAAAAAATTGTAGGACAAGCATTTTTCCATATATGGAAATTGTTGGATAAGCATTTTTGGTCAACCCACGCTAAGATGCAGTTGAAATACTATCTACAATTTACAAAAGTGCTTAACCGTTCTCAAATCAAGCAATATTTTTTTCGATGTCTTGACCAAAAACAATAAGCGACTTTTTTCAAATGCTCGAGCAAAATAACCACTGGAAATTATGTAAGATGAGAGCGGTTTGAGCGGTTTTTTTTAGACAATTATGCTCAAAATCTTGCTTCAAAATGAGCGGTTTGAGCGGTTTTTGAATGGTTTATCTAATAAAACCGCTCAAAAACCGCGCAAGATTTGAACGGTTTGAGCGGTTTTTTTTAGACAATTACGCTCAAAATCTTGCTTCAAAATGAGCGGTTTGAGCGGTTTTTGAACGGTTTATCTAAAAAAACCGCTTAAAAACCGCGCAAGATTTGAGCGGTTTGAGCGGTTTTTTTTAGACAATTACGCTCAAAATCTTGCTTCAAAATGAGCGGTTTGAGCGGTTTTTGAACGGTTTATCTAAAAAAAACCGCTCAAAAACCGCGCAAGATTGGAACGGTGTTGAGCGGTTTATCTAAAAAAACCGCTCAACAACCGCGCAGGATTTGAGCGGTTTTTGAGCGTTTTTTTTAGATAAACCATTCAAAAACCGCTCAAACCGCTCATTTTGAAGCAAGATTTTGAGCGTAATTGTCTAAAAAACCGCTCAAACCGCTTAAATCTTGCTTCAAATTAGGTGAAAAATCTCGACTCGGGGGGGACGCCCTCTTCTCTCATAGATTTGACACCCTCACATCCCGAATGGTCCTCCTCCCTTTGGTGTTGTTTTCTGACATTCATTTTGGGCCAACCAACCCTAAAATTGTTCTAAAGGCGCATTCGGCGCCATGGTATGCTAACTTTGAAGGGGAGCGCGCGCAAAATTTTGAAAATCCGCTCCTCCAACTCGAAAAAATGCTAGATCCGCTTTTGCATCAGATCGAACTTTAGAATTTTTCATATTCTCATTTCGAATTTTGAAGAAGTGACGGACTATTTGAGCTCGGGGTGGTTTTATCTCCAGACAATTTTAGACTTTTCATTAAGTCAGTTTTTTACTTTATTTTATATCATCTGAAAGCTATTATTACCCAGAGACCAATCCGGCTCAGTTATCGTTCCACATTAAATAGAATCCTACTAGCAGTCTACTCAATACCTTACTGCTATTTTGTTTTTCAAAGCGAGGGGAAAAATTATTTTAAAAAATAATTAAAAAACTACAACATAATTAATAATTAAAATTGTTTTTTTTTTGAAAATTTCATCAATTTTTTTTAAAAGCGCTACTACTCTATAGACGATAAAGGCCAGTCGAAATAATCGGGGCGTTTCCCCACGAACAGTTTTGTTTCATATGCTCACCAATGGCGGCCATTTGGTTTTCGAAGGAGAGGTCTCCACTGATACCGAAACTGTAAACTAAACAAGACTGCGTTCCACCAATCAGTCCCTCTAAGTCATCCTCACACACAAATTTGTGGCCATCCCAAGCACTAGCACCAGCTTTATGTCCACCTGTAATACAGTGCTGGTTTGATTATCCGGGTAAGGTGAAAAATTAAGGTGAAAAATTTAGGTGAAAATTTAAGGTGAAAAATTTAGGTGAAAACTGACGAAGACAAAACTTGCTCACAATCTTAGCAGAAGAAAAATCGTGCAAAATAGTGCGGTCAGAAGAGAAAATTCAGTCCCAAATATTTAACATAAAAACGGATTGTTTCAATTTTTTTTTAACCACAAGTTACGCGAAAGATACATAGTCAATTAGTGACAAAATTTTATCAAAATGAGCGTCTTATGTATCCCAGCAAAAGCTATCATGGACAAAATACACAAAATTTTGTGCAAAAGGTTTGGGAACTGTTTTTAAATAAAAAAAATGATGTTTTATATGGTTGGAATGACATGATGTGGGTATCAAATAAAAATAAATAATAGTTTATGCAAGTTTTTGCGGAATTTTCGATTGAATAAAAAACCAAAATAATGAACCAATTCTGGGGTAAACTCCGGGCTCAAAATTCGCAAAAAACTACTGCAAATTAAAAGAGAAACGCATTTTAAGCTTCAAATTTTATGAACTGTGTGGTGCACTGTGATACTTTAAATCAGCATTACAAAAAGCACATGTACTCTAAAAAGGCCTTAACTTTCCAGGTTGACCTTTGACATGAAAGTTTTACACGCTCCTTGAATTTAGCTCTAAAAAGTTTTTTAGTTAGGACAGTTTATACATGAGGGAAAATAACAGCATACGAGCTGTGTAGTTGATCGCGAGATACGATGTTGTGCCCATTGTTAAGATATACTTTTTTTTGCTATATATCTGGCGTGTCTAATGTTACCTTGCTCTCAAAGCAACGAGCATAGGTCCTCAGACAACCGGCTGTTCCTCAGTTGACAAAAAATGCTCATCATATAATTTCAAACTAAAGAAAAAATGCTTATCATACAAAATAATGATATGAAAAAAATGCTCATCATCAAAAAACTCCAATCATCAGACATTCAAACACCAGACAAAACTACCTATTGCTAGATGCGTAGTGAAAAAATGAGTTTTACGTAAACCATAGCAAAAAAAAAGATTTTTTTGTACATGATTGAGAGGACTCTATTTCAAAAAATTCAAAGGTTGAAAGTCTGCCATCACATAATATTTCAATATAATCTTTTGTTTTTTCATCAAATTGATTGCGTGGATTATGCTATATGCCAAAATTTTTTAAGTTTTGCAGGCAAAATATTATTTTCGGAAAACAGTTTTTTTCATCTTAAAACTAGTTTAGCGACAAAAAAGAAAATTTAAAAACTTTTCCTCAGTATTGGATTTTTACTAGTATGATAACCGTTTCTGCGGCAAAAAATAAATTTCTGATGACCAGAATATTCTCATTCAATTGAAAACCGATGTAAGCTCATTTAAACTTAACTAAAAACCCTTTTGGAAAAACTTTTGTGTATAATCTAAGTGGGAAAGTAATTATCATGCAATTTGAATAGCAAAGAATTGTATGATAAACTCTCTCCGTCGAAGTTTTCCTTGTAATTGTATGACAAGTATTTTTGTTCCGATTATTGAAAATCACGAGGAAGTTTGTAAACGGTTTGGTTATAGTTTTTTTCTCCACCAAAATCAGGTACCAAAAACGTCATTGGATTGCATTGTGTTATTTATCTCATTGAATCATTATCAATCGTTATTTGAAGACTTTAAAAATTGTAGATAATATATTTTCTGTGTCGAGAAAGTTTGTTTGCAGTTTTTGATTTTTGGTCCAATTTTGAGCAAATAAAGCAAGCGAGCAGGCTATTTACAGATCGATAAGCATTAAAACGTTATTTTTGCTAAGTTTTTGTTTCAAAACTTGCAACGCTTCTTTTGGAAAAGAAATTCAAATGAATGTCAGAAAAAAAACTTTTTAAAATCCGTGTCGATTGAGAGGCTGAGACAAAACTACGTCAACTCGCTCCCCCATTAAAAACCACATTTTCTCATAGAAAAATTAATAACAACTTTTAGAAAAAAATTACGCTTCGAATCTTTTTTTTTCTAAATTCTTTTTGGATAAACAGATGAAGACGCTCCTTATATTGAATACTGAGACCGCATAATTTCTCGATTAAATGCCAGAAATTGGGAGATTTGTAAGACCTACGGAGTTGTCATATCGTCATAAAAATAAATTTTTTCAGTTTCCAGATACAAAAACTGTCAGGGACAGCGGAAAGCTTATTAATAATTAGCAATTAAACACAAATCATCAGGTCAAAATGGTATAAACTGCGCTTACTTTCGGCTCGAGCGGCAAAATGAGTTTTTTTAGCTATCCGAGCATTTGGATATGTAAAACTGCACTCTGTCATAACCCATTTGCACTTTATGACATTACCCTAACTGAAATTTTTATATTGCATTAACTCTGTATTGAACCTGGTAGCATCTAAACATTCGTTCCAAGGAAGCAGTGGCGTTTACTGTAAATTTTTCTGGGAGAGAGAAGGGGGCGGTTATGGAAATTTTGTTGACCTTTTTTTCTGTTTTGGTCGATTTGTTGACAATCTCAGTTCTCCCAAAACGCTACAAAGCCCTTATTTTTTCCGAAAAAATCAGCGTGGCACGCGAATTTTTGAAACGAGTTCAGATATTAAAACATTTTTAACAACCCGAATTGAGGATCTGTCGTCAACCTCCTCTGCACAATTTTGTGGGAAGATACTTTATTTTAACTTTCTATAAAACTCTGTTGTCTCTTGAAAATACCGGCACTCAATATGAAAAACTATTTCTGTGGTTGAATTAGTATTTTGTTGAAAAACTCACCCAAGCGTAGCCTTGATTTGCATGCGGACTGAACTGGTTTAGTGATGAGTCGGAGATACTCGGCTTTGTTTTTGACATCCATGTGAATAATCTGATCAACCAGTTGTTTATCCTCCTTGCAAATCAGTTCTCGTAAAGAGTATGTAGATTTTGTTGGTTCGGTCTAAGCACAATCATTAAATATTTTTTTGTTTCAAAAACGTCTCTGGTAAAAAAAAGAATACAAAAGAATATTCCCGGGTCGAGATCCCAGACTCATGTCCAGACTGTGTGGGTCGCGCCGCATCCGGATTTATACCCAAATTGAATAGTCACGCCCAGAGTTTCAGTATGGAAAATTTGGATAACGTTGCGACGTGGGTCAAGATGGTCTGGACACATCAAAATTTGAAAGTCTGGACATGGGTAGCAAAAATTGCAAAAAATTGATTTACCGCTTTTGCCAGATTTACCGTTTTTTGTTTTTCATCATCTGTCAGTCCAGTCACAGGATCAGGGCTGAGTAGACTTTGCCTTCCGAAGCTTTCTGTCTAAACAAATCAAGGTTAATTGCCGTACAAGTAAAACAGAACATAATGAGTTTAAGTCCGGGGTGGCTTTCATAGAATATTTTCGGACAAGGTACACCTTCTGTTTTCGTGCAACTTTTTAGTCTATAACCAGTCCTAATCTTACTCTTATATATCCTAGTCTCAATGGATCTAGCGTATACTGGTTTTATAGCGAGGCTTAGAATCAAGAACCGTTCTGAGGAGGAGCAACTGTTTGCTAAGTTAAATTTATTCTGTTCTGGTTGAAATTATAAATAGTTTCAGCCGTAAGATTATTGTATCTTTTAGTCATGGATCTTATTTGGTTAGTTCTAAGTATTTTACAGAGATAGTTATCATAAAATAGAATATGTTAAAAACTTGTTTTGAACTGGTTACAATAAATAAGAGAGAACTTTTCTGGAAAGTTTTCAAGATTGTGCCAAAGTGATAAGAACTTCCAGCTTTGATTAATAGCGTCATGCACCAAGGTGTCATCAATACAAATTTTACTCAATAGGGATATCATTTTGCTCTTAAACTGAATAATTTACTGTTGTTTTAACAATCTTAAAAGTACAAATTTTACTCATAATTCCTTCGTTTCGAACAGAAAGAGCTGCTAGAAAACGGCAACTACAGATAGATTCGATTTGAGTTTAATACGAGCCTTTTGAAATCAAATAGAATACTTAAAAACAAAACCCGGATCAAATCAGGTACCGAGATTTTGCTACTTTTCGGGTTTTTGCAAATATGCAGATGAACTATGATGTCTGCAGCAAACAATTGTACAACAAAACAATATCGTGAGCAAACAATGTGTTTTTTTCGATGTTTGTTTTGCGTTTACCGCGTGCTTTGTTTAAACTCAACCAGTTGGAATCATTCCAATGTCATCTTCATTGAAACTGAAATTATCTAAAGCTTTGATGCTACTGGTTCAAAATACAACAAAATTCCCTCCTCCGCTTAGGATTTGATAGTTATACGCTTTTTAAGTGGTCGAATATGGCAATAACACATAGCTTGATTTGAAGTTTTTTAGCTCCAAGTTTCTTACCTTGAAATATTCAAGGAAAATCAGTGATTTTCGATGCAACACTGAATACACGATGCGTTTTATACAGTACTGAATTTGCTTGGAAATTTTATCGTTTTGTGCGGTAACGTTACTCACGCTCGGCTATCTAACTGGGATTATCATGTCAATTAGTTTCAACATTCTTTTCGCAAAGCTAAACGTTAAAATCTAATTTTTCCGAAAGTAACGGAAAAAATATGTGCTCGGGGTGGTTTTGTTTTCAAACAAACTCGACTTTTTAACTAGCCTTTTTTGACAAAACTTTTTCTTATCATTCAAAAGTTATTGTTGTCTTGAGCTTAAATTTGAAAAAATATTTCACCTGTGATCATTTTTTGTGAAGTTATGGGGGTTTAAAGATTGCCATTTTGGCCAATTTTGGACAATTAACGCGCGATATATTTCGCGCTATTAACGCATTAGCGCAGAGTTAATCCGTCTTAGAAATCGTTCCATATTGGTTGAAGGAAGCTTGTTTGCTATAATTGAATTTGTTACTAGGAGCAAAATCTATCACTTTGTTCTTTATATGGCGTATGGCGGGATGATTTTCGCAAAAATCTCAAATGAAGAAAATTTTTTAAATTTATTTTTTCATGTTATTACGGCTCCAAGGCAGTCAGAACTTTCAAGGCCTCGCCCTAATAAGAGCACTCTTTGTGTGTATTGTTCCACCATTCAATTTTTACGAAACGTTTTCGCGGTCAATGGAGCGTGCATCTACTCGCTTGAAAGCCGCTGACGAACAGAACACTGACAACCCATCCTATCCGAAATAAGGGGCTCCTATCGAAGTTGAGCTCTTTTCTAGAAGGATTCCAAAGCGTTTTATGGCATGGTAGGAGTCCTCCTCAAAGGTTATCTTAGTTTCCTCGTTATTGTAGGGTTTGGATTTATCGGGGCCAACTGCGGCTATTTGTCCGATAATGACGAAAAACTTAGGCTGTCGAAGCCAATGCGATCTTTTTCTGACAAAAGCACGGAACGGAAACGAAAAGTCTATGTCTTGAGCGGAAACCATGAGTGCCTAAAAGCGGTATCGCAAAAAAGTATGGAATTTGATTATTTTTACCAAAAAAATCGAAAAAAACTTTTTGTTGATCACTCATTTAGGACAAACCGATGCTGGTTGATACTTTTATCTAATTGTGAATTGTGGGAAGTATAATTGAAGTGCTTACAGGTTGTTAGAATGATCATGTGATTGCAAAGCACTGGTGGCCTACATTACGAGGCCAACTGTGCATTTTGTGCATTGTAAGCGGATTCCGCAACACGGACGCGTCCTTTGTTCTTCTTTCGTTCTTTCATTTTCTTTGATCGTTCCAACAAAATTTTAACCTGTTTAAAGACTTGTCTCTGGAATCCAGGCTCATGCAGACACCAAAATGTGCGCCTCTCCAATGCACAGTTTGGCCACGTAATGTACTGGCACTGGTCATGAAAAAAATAGACAGGGAAGCATGTGAAAATGAATGCTGTTGCTGTCTTAACTCATGATAGAATTCTAGGAATGCTTTTGATATCTTAATTCATGATAAAATTCTGATAGCCAGAATGACAAATGAGGCAAATTGAGCAGAAGCAGCGTAAATTGAGGTGTTTTATTGGCTTATTTGAGTTTGGAATAGAAAAAACACATCCAGTTTTTAAGGACATAAAAAACAGCAGCGTTACATCATCAGTTGAGATGACAAGATTGGTGGAAATCTGCTTGAATGTTCGCGATGTTTAACAGATGTTAACCACTGTTCAGTTAAAACGTCCAACCCGGGTTGAATTTGAATTGCAATTCAGAAATGTATCCTTTTTATTGCTTTAAATTGACATGTTTCAGGGATGTACCAGCACAAACACATGTAGATATACTCTGTTTTAACTTTTACCCTTAATTATTAAAAAATATTGTTGTGACATCGATGAATCGATGAAGCATCGATGTGACATCTATTTTTTAAAAAGCTTAGAGACATTGATGTGACATCGCTGAAAGTTCTATGTAACATAAATGTTTGTCTATTTGAATTGTTTTTGAAAACAAAAACTTGACAATAAATTCACTTTTTACGAAAATTTGATTTGTTTTTAAAGTTTTTTTTTATGTGGCGTTACAAACAAAAAAAATCGATTAAAAAGCCTATAAAAACTGCTAGAAACCACGTAGATGCGTGTTTTTTTTGCAAAAAAAGAAATGCAGGTTTACAGGGTTAGCCTTGGGAGTAACAGGGCTGAGCAATTGATTTTGTATAGAAATGGTTAGTTTCGCTTAAAAACTGCAAATGTTTTTTTTTGGTCAAAACTTGTATTTACCCGCTCACAGCTTAAAACAACCTATAAACGCATTTTTTGCAAAAAAAAAACTAATAAGGAATTGTGGTAGTTGATAGTTATTAGGCTTGAGCAACTAAATGTGCCTGGAAACACGGCAATTTTTGGTTTAAAAATGGAAAAAATTTGTAATTTTAAAATAATATGATGCGTTCCTCACAGCTACAAGTCCGCTGAAAGTTTTTTTAAATCAATTTTGCTGGACTTAGAATGTTCTTGGGATTTTCAACCAAAAAAGGCTTTTCTTTCAGAAAAATTACATCCATGTTTCAGCCATGATTATTGTGGAATACATCAAAATATTTTTTTTTCATGTTTTATGTATGAATCATAGAACTGACATTAACGTGTCAGTCATTATTCAACGACGAAACATCATTGTAATTTGCATCCAGGTTTCATAGATGAAACATGATTGAACAACGTTAGGTTTACCTAGGTAAGCATTTTTTCACCTCAAACGTTCATTTCCTAGATCATCTCAACTGGTTGTTCTCTGAAAACTTACATTCCAGAGTAAAAGTAATGTTTTATGAAGTTTAATTTTCTAAAAAAACTTTCTTGAAACTCGTAGTACAAAATATGAATTTTAGATCTTGTTTGAAACTCCTCTAAGAGTTACTTCGCCAAGAACTTGGAGTAAGTCGGTTGACTCCAACAACAGTCGTGGAAAAAACTTGAAGCTAAAAATTTTCAACTCAACCCACATGTTATCTTCATACCTGGTCATTTAAAAAGTATAGAGCGATCAAGGTCTTGAACGGTGAAGCGAATTCGGTTACATTTGGAACGAGTAGCATCTAAGCTTAAATTAGTTTCATTTTTACCAAAGATGACCATTTAAAAAAGGCAACAGTGTGAATTTAAACAAAACACGTGTTAAACGCAAAAGCGATAAGTCCATTAAAAATATAACCCAGTGCACTACAGCATTAACCCAACCAGTGCAATCTTGCGATCGCCTCGTCCATAGCGTTAAATGGGTTCTCGATGATATACTAGTCAGTAGTCGGGTAACTGAAGATGTGTCAGGAACAATACAATGCTTGTTTGAGCAGGCCTTGAATGCAAGACCAACCACTCCGTTAATTACCGACTTGCGCGATTTAGAAGCGTTAACTTACAATCACATTTTTTTATTTTGCAGTTTTTCTTTTGTTTTACGCGCAACTTTTCCTTCGCCCTCTCCTGGGGAATACTTCGATCATAAGAAAGTGTGCATACGAGCGCAGTCATAGGCAAACGCTATATGGTCTCGTTGGCTAAGAGAATATGTCCCTTTAGTTAACAAATTGGCAAAGTGAAACACCAAATCCGACGTTATTCACAAAATGGGTGATCTCGTAGGGGTGATTGAATCCGGTAGCCCGCGAGGTTGTTACCCTCTCGGTCGCATCATTAAACTCAACTACGGCAAAAACGGATGCGCACGTTCCGCCCTCAAACAGCTACGAGCGCACTTATTCGGCCGACCGTTAAGCTCACCCCAGTTCTTCCGTCTTTGGATGTGGAGGCTGTTCATGTTCTAGCTTGAAAGTGTAAAGGACAGACAAGCGCATAAGATCAGTTGGGCTAATTTTCGGCTAATTCAGTGCGCTAATTTTGATTACACTGAATTAACGGTTTTAATTGTTTTTTATCATGGAACTCCAGAAATATTACGTTGTGATGGAACTCCGGGTAGGTTATGGTGCCGGAAGGTTACGTTGTGATCAGTAGCTTTCATAAATAATACCTCTGACTACAGTAGAAACTTATATAAGGCTAACAAGTCGCTGCACTAGAAAAACCTATATGGAGTTAGAACTTTTTTTGAGTGGACGGACTTGCGGATTTAAAAAAAAAACGGATAAGTTTAATTTTTAAGATGGATATGGAACAGTAAAAAGACCCTATTATACCAAAACTTATGCACTGTTTTTTTAGAGCGCTACCTCATTGAATTTTCAAAATATGTGCTTCAAAAATGTCTGCCAAGGTTGGTCTGCCGAGAATAGATGGTGAAACATTGGCACTGAAGGGAAGGGTCGTTTGGGTCCTGTGTTCTCGAACCCCTTTGGAGAAGAAGGGTCATTCTTATGCCCCACATTTTGCTTACATTTTATGGATGTCGTCATAACTATTCGTACTGTTACTAAATGGGACGAAGCTCACCTGCTTTGTTGTCATCGATTGTTTGTATGATATATGTACGATCAAGGATAACACCAAGCAGGACAGCAAGACACCCAGAATAAGACGGGTCTGAGGATTCAATGGCATTACGAGGGGCTACTGAAAACACAATATCAATCATTAAAGAGAAATTTGTCGCTTCGCACGCGTTGTTTTAAGTTCTTTTCTGCTAAACCATTGATAAAAACAAAAAATAAAAATAGAATTTAGCCAAAGCAAAGAACTCAGTCATATGAAAAAAAAATCGACGATAGCAAAAAAAATCAAAGTGCAAACAAAACACTCAACTTTCATTCATTTGCACTTAAGAAGCTTGGTCCAAGTTGACACAACACATGTTTTCACTTATTTGCAGTTGTACACCATGCAGATTTTCATTGCATTATGACAACGCTAAGATAGTTTTTTTCTAACTTCAAATATTTTCAACTGTTTGTGTTTTAACTTGCGATTAAAATACATAATCTGCAAGAAAAAGTATGAATGTTATCCCACAACTGAAATTTCATGGGTAAAAAAGAAGAGATTTTTGTTGGCTAAAATTTTGTCTGGAGATAATTGATTATCGTGGCAAATTTAGACCATTTCATCAATCGATTATTTTTGAAAAACAGAAATCTATTGTATAGTCAATTGGAAATTGAAATTCACTATTGCTCCAAGTTTCGAGGAAAGTGACCAAATATTTTTGCTCGAGGTGAAGTTTTTCTCCAGACCTATTTCGACTTTTTAAACAGCCACTTTTGACAATTTTTTATGTCATCTGAAAGGTTCTGATGCCAGTTTTCAGCTCGAATTTAGAAAGGCTTTTTACCATTTTTTGTAAAGTTGTGTGTTTTAAAATTGCAAATTAGATCGATTTGAGATAGTTAACGCACGGTGTATTTGGTGCAATTAACTCATAAGCAGCAAAATTGAAGCAGCAAAGTTGAACTGAAGCAAGCAGTTTGCTCTTTCTAACTCCAATTCTAACTCCATTTCTAACTGGGGTACCAAACTCAACTAATTCACTTCATATTTTACATAGCGCATTGGGAGTTAAAATGAGTAAAGAACGAAAAAATCAAAGTTTTGCTTATTTTTGGTTATTCTACCGATTTATTGAAAAATATGATGGGGGGAGTGGTAGTGGGCGATGACAAAAACTGACAGTAAAAAAAATGTAACACTGCCGAATTGAAAAAGTAGAGAAATTTAATTGTATAAAACCTTAAGTGAGAAATTTAAATTTGTGAAACGTAATCCGTAGCAACTGCACTAAACAGGAAGTGAGATAACTTGTAAAATTTGAGAAATTCGCCAATTATCTCTCAAAAAATCCATTATAACCCAAATAATTAATTTCTGATATCTGAGCAGTCTTGTTCTACCGAATCTCGATCGAGCCGGTAAGCTTTACCCCAGTGTTCTCGGAATGCAAGTTTTGCATGAACTCTTTTTAAAACAAATATAAGTTGCTTTGTTTCAAAGTTTGCATAATTACTGAGATACTTTAGCAATTTTTTGGTATTCTAATACAAATTATTTTCTATTTTTCTGTAGTTTTCGATTTGTTAAGGGCTTTATAATGTTTCTGCTTGTTTCTAGCAATTATCCAACTCATTTTTAGAATGGATATTGCTGAATTGAAATGCCGCGACCAAAATTTAAAAAAATAGTACGAATAAACGTACTAAAAAAAATAGTACGAAAAATATTCATTGTTCCGAAAGGTATATATGTCATCTTGAAAATTTTTCAAAATACCCGGGTTGATCAAAAATGCTGGTCATACACTTTTGATTCAAAATAATAATCACAGGAAAATGGATGAAAGGTCTATGATAAGTGACTTTTCATATGCGGAAACTGTATGACTAGCATTTTTCCAAAAACCAAAAAATTTGGTTTTTTAAAATTCAATTTCTCAAAACTTTTGGGAAACACAAAGGACCAAAACTATGAAGAACTCAAAATTTGAGTCACCCTAGATATGACAGTGTTGCGTTTACAATGCATTGGAAACGACCTGAATTGTCTGAGAGTTGTTTTACACAAAAATTGTACTGAAAGTTTCAAACTTTTAAATTTTTTCCAACAGTTTTCACAGACGATCGTTTTTAAACTTTGAATTTTTAATTATTCAGACATTGATAAAGGCATAAATAAACATACCATACAAAAGAAATAGAAGTTTTGCGCTTTTTCAAAAAAAAGTTATCCAGAGAAATGGAAAAAAATCCAATTTTTGTGTATCCAGGACTAGGTTATGCAAACAAAAAAAATAAGTTTTGCAGGCAATTTTTTTTTGAAATTGTTTGTTTAAGTACAAAAGTCGTTTTGCGGTTGAATAAAAATAAAAAGATTTTTGGGCAAATTCAAAATTACCTATGGAAAATGTATGATTAGCGTTTTTTTGACAAAAAAGTTTTTCTTTTTTATTTAGTACGACACAAGAAAAAAAGTTCTTTAAAAATTCGATGAAACCATTTTAGCAAAAATTATGAAATTTGTATTACTAGTAATTTTTCAAAGAGTGCCCATGAAAAAAAGTTCTTTTAAAAACAAGAAAAAAAGTTCTTTAAAAATTCGATGAAACCATTTACGCAAAAGACTGCACATGCTGAAATGTTCTTGCAAAATTTGCATATCGATTAGAATTGTAAAGTTTGCTTTCCTTTGCAAGAATCTTGCAAAGTTTGCCTTTTAAGTACAAGGGGGTATATATGCTATGGGTGTTTTTCCATCGATCAAAATGACAAGTTTTTGTCAAAAACTATGAGCCGAAAAAATATCCCTGAGATACCTGAGATCAAATGTAAATCGAGACTTAAGCGGCAATTCTTTTAATTGCACTGTGGGGAAAAATTGCCAAAACTGTAAAATTCTGAGTAAAAAAATGCAGATATCCTCAATCTCTTATCTAAATCTTATGACGTTTGATGCTGCCAATAGGAATTATAAATAGAGTACTTTAAATTGGGAAAAAATTGAAATAGAAATTATGACTGATCATCAAAAAAGAAAGCATTTCAGCTCAAAGAGTACAATAATGGTCACCCTGGGTTGATCATAAGTACATTATGCTATGCCAACCCGGTCCCAATTTTCGCCTGCTACAGTCTTTGCTTCTCAAAACACATAAATATAAATTTTTACCTGGAATTCAGCTTCCTTCAAGCGATGTGACTATATAAGTTGTTTTTTTTCGCTTTTTCTTCGTTATTTTTCAATGCACGCGTGATTTAAATCGGATCATACAACACAGCTTAATTGTGTTCGAAAGAAACGTTGCTACAGCCAGTGTCGTGTTCTGTGTTTTAAGCATTAGACATGATATAACACAACTAACCTGTTTTTGAAAATAATACTGGTAAAATTGTAATTGCTTTCTGTTTTTTCAATGAGTCATTGCTTTCTGTTTTTTCAAGAAAAAGAAGCAAAAACGGATCAAAAACAGCATTCGATTGTTTTTTCAATAAGACATTCTTCTCCAAACCACACCTGCCAGCAATTGTTTCGATTGTTGACCGTTTTATGTTTGACTTCTGAATCTGCAACGCAGTTTCAGAAAATTGTGGATGCCTATTTCAAGTCAGAAACTGAAAAAATTCGTAAACAAGGGAAACCAAATAATTTGATGTGACTTTTTAATATGGTTTAATGTGACTTCTTGTTCATAATTTCTGCTAAACATTGCCCGATTGCGCTAATTAGAGTTTGGTATCTAGAACTAAAACAGAGCTCTAAGCAAATGATTCTTATGACTATTCAAGTTCTCTTTTAGACAGCTTTAGCCAAAAGAGTAAAACTTTGAATCTAAAACTATCGCAGAGCAAAAGTTTCACAACGGAAATCTAAAATTGTTTTGCTTATCTTGATTCTTAAAATAAAACGTTTCAAAACTAATTCTAACAGAGATGTAAGCACAATGCGGCAAGACCTGAATTGCAGTTTCTTATTTGAGGTTTCTGACCCTATAAAACAATCCGAGCTTATAATTCTCAATACCAATTGTGAGAATCAAAGCGACTTTACTTTAAATGGATTCGGCACCATAAAGTCAGTAAAAATCAAAGCTTTAATTGCGATTATTTATGCAGAACTATCGAACGAAATAACATGCACGCGGCTGATTGCGGTTTAGATTTCAACAGAAATAACCTCGCCGTTAATCTCGATTTTTATTTGAACTTGATAACTAACCTACTGGCATGATTCATATAAGCAAATAAAAAAGATAAAAAAATTTTCCAAATTTGAACCTGATCTTGAAAATATTTTTGTCACTATTTGGAGGAAATTAAATCCGAATATGGAATGAAAACTGGTTGTGACCAAAAAAATCATCTAATCAGTTTCATTTAAATACCAATCAGTTTAAAATAAAACTTTTAAAAAATTTTTTCTAAGCATTTAAAACTCATCATTCTAAAAATTGTTGACATACAACGCAATGTCTGAAAGGTTTTTCAGCCCCTAGTCCTACCATAGCAACCAGCAAAATCAGTAATTATTCCAGAACTAAATTGCTACTGACAACATATTTTAAGCGTGATTCAAAACTGCTTTTTTAAAAAAGTCTCCTGTAGGCTGAGAGGAGACGTCGTTTCTCAAAAATTTTATAAAAATTTTTTTAATTCCATCTTTATTAAACATTTTTATAAAGCTATAGTGCAAAAAAATTGCACAACAGTTTTTTTTGTCAACCTGATTTCTATTTGGCACTTTTATTTTAAGAACCTGTTACTTTTTGATGCCTTCCGACTCTATTCTGGTGCGATTGCACTCTTTCTAATTTTTGTCGACTTTCCATTCGTATCAAATTCTTAATTCTTCTCTATATTCAAAATCGAGTGGAGTAAAAATTAAACAGAGTAATAGAGCAAACTGTTTAGTTGTTTTGTACTTTTTTTTATCCGATTTCCGCTTCTTTTTTTTCTTTTTTTTTCATGGACGAAATAAACGTCCCGACAACTTGGACTCTGGGAAATTTTTCTGAAAAGTTTGACTAGCGACCTTATTAATATCCAGCAAATGTTTCCCTATCTACTATCAGGAGCTTATATTTCAAGGTCTTCTAAAAACGGTGGTAGTTTTTACGTTTCAGTTTTCGGTTTTCATTGCCATAAAATTTTTCATCCATCGCTCCGAGAAAATTTCATCTATCCGTAATTGATGCTGCTGGCAGTTTTTGAGTTTGATGCTTTGAGCATATTCATCTCGCTGAGATTTTTTTTGCGTTTAAGATAATACTTAAGGCTAGATATTACTAGTATATGTTTCTCTTTGGAATATTAGAAGAAATGGAAGGACGCTGAAAACAATATAGCTATTATAATGGTTTAAGAATGATTAAAGAGTAAAACAGTGTGCTTTTCTAATAAGGAATTTTCTTTTGTTGCCTTCAATTGATACCATGTAGCGTGTTTCTCTTTCGAACGCGTGAATGAGGGACTACTTCTCAAGCTAATCAAAATGCTTTCTAAATGATTAGTTTTACCAATTAAATTGAGAATGTCTCCTATGGCCTAAACTAGTAATTTGTACTCTTAAATGAGTTACTACTATGGTTAATAGTCGACATAATTTCAATTAGGAAACTCGTATTTAAAAAGAGTCAAAGTATTCAGAGGTTATTTTGTGATGATGCTATGAATCAGAGTGCTTAAACATAAGACTTAATCAGTTTGGGCTTTTGTCCAGGACACCAAGTTGAGGTAATTTTTTAACAGTGGTGCTACGTGTAGTTGTTATCGACGTCACTCAAGACCTTTCAAAGCAAACATGTTTCTCCAAGTTACATTTATTTCGCATTTTATCTGTTTTTGTTCCAACTTTCGAAAAAAATTACGGATTTTTTTTTTGCTTGGAGTGGTTTTTTTATTCAGTCACTTTTCGATTTTTCAACTAAGCAGTTCTGAAAAAAAGTACACCATCTGAAAAATACCGTGTTCCTGAGCTCAATGTTGTTGTTTTTTTACCTGTGATTCTTTTTGTTGAAATTAGAGGGGGGTTGGGGTTAATATATTGCGTTTAATAACAAGTGCAAGCGGCGGACTATTGCGATCCAAACTGAAGAGAAAATAATCGATTATACTATAATTATAATCGTACTTTTACTAAAGTTATAATCAATTATAAGCACCAATTTTAGATGCTTAAACGATTTATAATCCATTATAATGATAACTTGTTTGGTGACTTTTTAATGAATATATTCAATTATAATTTTTCCAGAATTTTTTTAAAATTTCTTATATTCTATTATAATCTATTATAAAAATTATCTATCAAAATTATATTTCACAGGAAAAACCAATTATGATGGATTATAAATTAGCTATTCGGCATGAGAACACAGTAAAAATCAGAAAGAAGTAAGAATCAGTACACAAGGGATGGATCTAGGATTTTCGCGAGGGTCTCCAAAGCCCTATCAAGCCTGATCTGATTGATTCCAAGCTCGCTAATGCATTAAAAAGACCTTTTTTGGTAAAATTTTATGCGCCGCAGACAAAATTTTAAAAAAAGGGGCCAAAAAAGGCATTTTTAGGCACTTTTTGGAAAAATTTGACCAAAAAATTGCATTTTTCGGCGCGCACCTCCCTCAAAATTAAAATATATTAGGCACCGTTAAAACATTTTAGTGTCAGTAAGCAAAAAATGAATATCTGAAAAAAGTGGGGACCTCAAAATAGTGGGGTGAAATGGGGAGACCTTTTGGGTCGGCAGGGGATCGAATCCCTGAGGGGAGGGTGGTGTCGCCCCCCCCCCCCCCACGACGCGCCCTTCATAAATCCGCTGGTGGCTATAAATACAAAATTACAGTTTCTGTTAGTTTGGTAACTAACTGAAAAGCACACAAAACAAAACAAAACTAAAACAAAATGAAGCGATGACGTTTGTTGAATAATAATTGAATATAATCCATTATAATGGATTATAATTCAAAAAAGTTTGAAAAAAAAATTCCATAAAATGATCGATTATAATAGATTATAACCGATTATAATGATTTTTATAGTTTCGAAAAATAGTAACATTATAATCCATTTTTAATCGATTATAATCAATTCTTTTTGAGTTTTTATCGAGGCTGACAGCAAAAATCCATTATAATCCACTTTTTATTCTTTTTACTGAGTGCGGGATAGCAGTTGACATCGAATTTGATTCATTGCAGCATTTTCTGCCCCTAATTAATAGTTCATGCAGTTTTCCACAAATCTTGTAACGCAGCTGTTTTTCATGTCCTTAAAAACTTGATGGGTTCATCCAATTCCAAACTCAATTAACCAATAAAAAATCTCAATTTACGCTGATTCGGCTCAATTTGCCTCATTTGTCATTCCGGCTATCATTAATTTTATCATGAGTTAAGATATGAACAGCATTCATTTTCACATGCTTCCCTGTTTTTTTTCATGATCAGTGCCTGTAGGCCACCAGGATTTTTAATTCGCATGATCATTTTAACAACCTTTAAGCACTTCAATCAAGTGTGAGTGTCTCGAGTGAGTACCGAGCGCAAATATTCCGTTACTTTTGTTACAATATTGGGAACAATATTGTGACGCATATCGTTCCCCTGCTATGTAATGACAACAAAATTAGTTTGCCGAGCAATTACTATTTTACACTGTATCATTTTAAGTCTTATGGAAAAACATTAGATTTGAACATCTAGCCTTGCGAAAAATAGGTTCAACTAATTGACATGATATAAAAAAAGCTTTTTGTTCCGACTTTGGATACGAAATTAACGGAATATTTGTGCTCGAGATGGGTTTTTTTCTTCAGATAAACTTCGACTTTTTAACTAGCCATTTTTGACGGGATTTTTTTTTATATCAATCAAAAGAGTTTGCTGTCTTGAGCTTAAATTCGAAAAGATATTTCACTTGTGGTAATTTTTCCTAAAGTTACGAAGGCTTAAAATTTCCATTTCGGCCAAATTGGGACAATCAACGTCTGATATATTTTGCAATATTAATGGGTAAGTGGAAATTTAATCGGTCTTATAAATCGTTCCAAATTGGCTGAGTGAAGCTTAATTGCCATAATTGATTTGCTATAAGGAGAGAATTCTTTTGATTTTTATATGGCGAGTGGGGGATGATTTTTATTTGTTTTTACTTCTCCATAAACCGTAAAAGGCAGTCGGAACAGTCGGTGCTTCGCCCTGATACGAGCACTCTTGTTTTAATTTGAAATTTTGCAAAAATCATGCCCCCGCACGCCATATATGGTACAAATTTATAGAATTTGCTCCTAGTGACAAATCAATTATGGCAACTAAGCTTCCTTCAATCAATTTGGAAAAATTTTTAAGACGGATTGAAT